AAAACCCCTTTGCCCACATTTGAACCCTTTTTTTTTTTTTTTTTTTTGCAAAGGTAGAATTACGACCCTATTTAGGATTGTTTTTTTTGGCCCAAAACATGCTTCGCTTTAAAGTTAAGCAGTCTAAGATATTTGGTAAAAATAAAATATCTCCATCATTTTAAAAGCAGTGGCCTTTTGATAGCATATTTTAAAATCAAACTCTCGGTTACTTTTCAAAGCTACTTTTCAAAATAACCATAAATGAGCCTTGAATGAATTTTTTAATTCCCAAAATAACATCATTAATTTTTAAAAATGACATCACCTCCACCTCCATATCCAACTCCACCAACACCACCGTAACTGCCACTGCCACTACCACAAAATCCTCATCTGCTACTACCACCACCCCCACCTCCACCTCCACCTCCACTTCCACCACCTCCATCGTCATCTCCACCCCCACCATTATCACCATATGATTAGTGCATAACACTTCAACATGATGTCTATTTTAGTTATTATTCACAATTACAACAATTTTATATTAAAATTTACCAAACAGTTTTGAGAGTGTTTTTTGTACTAGCAACACTTTAAAAATATTGTTTACCAAATATAGAGTTACTTTACTTTATAATTAATTATTTTCAAAGCACATCATAAGCAACTTTTTTTTTTAAGTGACAACAATTCCAAACTGGCCCTACATTAACACTTACCTTCCCTAGGCTATATAGACGAGCCCAACCTTGGGTTACATTTTGGTCCAACCCATATAATTTCTTCAATTTTTATTGTGAGCTAGTGCTAGAGGTGATTTTCGGGACAGATTGGATGGGAATTAGGGGATTCTAATTCCATTCCAAAAAAAGTTATATTTTCCAATTCTAATAATGTCACATCTAACAAATAATAGTATAGTTGTTCCTGGGTTGTATTAGTTTTTCTTTCTATGTTGACAAAATATTAGGCCATTCCTTCCAAAATACCCTTGATCTGTTACGTAAATAGTGCGAGATGTGAGAGGAAAACTATTAGTAGTAGTGGCTTTGTTTTTTGAAAAAACTTTCCACTTTGTCTAGCAGGGAAGTAAATCGAATGGAAGCATGGCGTGATTACATCTTATCCGAGTTGATCAGGACAGGATTTGCCATCACCAGACTGACTCACCTGTGAATATATATGTTCCTGTTTTAACAGAAAAATTAGTACAATCTTATATCTTAACACTCGTAGAAAAGTGAAAAAGAGAAAAAGAAGATCTGATTATGGTCGGCCGTGACTAATTTAACTACGGCGTGGAGGCCGTGGTGTTGTTTGTAGACTTATGCTATAATTAACTGCCGTGGTCAATGTCATCCACACAGTGGAACCATGGCCACCGTCATGTTTGAAGTAATGTAATTTTGTTGGGACAAATATATGTTCATTTATTTATTTGTTTATTGGAGAGAAAACAAACAATGCTTAATTTACAAAAAACTCTTGCAGTTGTCCACTGTTAATTAAAGAGAGAAGCGTGAGCCCAATATTTATTTATGACACACAATTGCATTACCTTGTCCGCATTAATTATTTATACACAATCATATTCCTCACTCGATCCAAAAAGCAAAACCCTCCATGTACGTCGTTCGTAGATAAACGCAAACACATCAACACATCAACACATCAACGACCAAGAAAGAGACATTTTACCCACTTCGAGATTCCTGCTATCAATTTAACGACGAGCCGTAACTGAGTTGGTGCGGGAGCCTAAGCCGGACCTCAGAAGCCGACGACTGGACGGCGACACCATGCCAGCAAATACCACCCTTGCACATGTCGTGGACATGAACAGAATGGTCGCGCCGGATTGCATACGTGGCTTTACGGGACACGTCCCACGTCAGAGTCGCAATCAGGATAAGGCACACCACGATGGTGGACACGATTAACACAAAGCCACCACTGAAGCTCTGACCAAACACCACCCCATACGCCTTGATCCCCGTGATCACTGCCACGTAGATCGTCGTCAAGTTCCCAGCCACTGCATCAGAAACCGCCATCTGCCTCAGCCTGCCTTGTTGAGAATTGAGAGACACTGATCGGCTAATTATTAGCTCTTTGACAAGTCTGGGGTGGCGGCTATTTAAAAGATAAATAAAAGGGGGTCCACTTTTACAGGTGAATTAATGAAAATTCAAAGGTTGCTTCTGATAAACGCAAATCTGGACTGCTTTTGGAGGAAATTGAAAACTTGTTGGAAGGGGTTTTAAGTCAAGAATCGGTCTTCTTGGGACTGTTGGGTGTTTAATTACAAGGATCAAAACGCAGTCGTATGGATGTATCTCAAATCTGATCAGTCAGCTGTCATGGTGGCAAAATGTTGAATGTTGAGCTTATCTTCAGATTTTGGGCGTTTCTTGCAAGGGAAAGTGGAAGGTATCATCTTTGTTGTCGTACATTTGCCTATTTTTAAATCAAACAAGATGATACCACCACGTGTCAACTTCTGTCTTTCTTTTTGAGGTATAGTAGCTTCTTACGTGGTTGTACTTGTACCAGACTTGCCAAACAATCTATTGGAGTTATGTTAGACAGTACAACGACGTCGTTGGCTGCACAACGTGCTTCTCATCTTGTTTACTTTTCCCAAGGTACAATGACATTGGCCCACCTGATTTTTCAGGGAGAGTTTTGGAAGTAAAATTGAATTGAGGACTTAATAATAAAGATTGGTGGATGAGAAAATCAAATGTAAGCATGACATGTCTCAGAGCAATTCACCACAAATTATATTTTGCTTGGATAGATGTTGTTGCTTAAAGTTTCCTCCTCAGTTTTTTTAATTATGAAGTTGGATTAAAGTGTATAAGTGCGATGGTGAATATTATAGGCCTATTGGATGGTGGTGACCAAACTCTTCTACTAGGTTTAGGGGCCAACAAAAAGGAAAGGGCGAATAAGTCCCCAGCAAACAAATAAATAATTATTTTTAAAAAAATTGTATGTCAAATTGAGTCTCTTGTGCATTGATCTTCTAAGGTCTTTTTTAAAATAAAAAAAATTTATCGAATATCTTGTACATTGATCTTCTAAGTTCTGGTACTTGATCATACACCTTGCATAATCAGATGCAACGAATTCAAGCTTGGAGATGGATGAATGTGTATCATTCTCGAAAGGCTTAAAAGGCAGGCAATATTTGAGATCCAGAGGAGGCTTCGACCGAAGCATGGTTCAAAGTATTTCATCTTTATCGGATTCAGTTTCATAAAATTAACCAAGCCTATGGGGTTGGGGAGTGTGTGGTGGCACTGACCCCTAACTGGGTAAAATAGTAAGTGAAATGCTTATTAAGAGTCAAACTTTGGTGCCAATTGGTCTACTACAGTTTTTAAAAAAAGCCTTGATTTGCATATTATTAGTCACTTAATCAAATTTACACGACATATTGAGAAACTATCTCCCTTTATAATTTAAATTATCGCTTATATTAAAAAAAAGAGTCAAACCTTGGTTCATTACACAAAGCCGGGAGACAGAAGCAGATAGTTGACAACCTCATTTAAACTCCTTAACTATATTAAAATGATTTATTATCTCATAATTAAATCAAAAAAGGAGCATGCATATGTCTGTGTTTATAACTCATGCTGTCAGACTGGTAACTCCAGCCAGCAAAAAGAAATAATACAGATGCTATATATCATTGTTCCTACACAGAACTTCATTCCGCACCACCACCTTAACTTATTCAGTAGTATCTACTTCATATAACAAATTATTATTATATAGCTTATCTGCTCCAAGATTAAACATTGCCCCCTCCAACTCATACCCGTTTTGGGACCACAAAGATTAGGCGTAAAACAAACATTAGAGTGAAATATAAGCGACATTCTTTGTATAATATTGCAATTACTTTAATTATTCTCCTCCACCCACCCTAGAAACTATAAAAATAAAATAATAAAAACATGCGACATTAAACAACGGTTATTCTTTTAGACAATTTGAGAAACAATAGCTGTGGGTCCATATAAATATTGGCTGGTTAGTGTCAAACAAAGTAGGGCAAATATTCAGTTATGCTAAGATACGCTCATATTATTATTCTTCTTCAATACTGAGGTATTTATACAAGTACAAAGATACGCTCATTTTAATTCTAAATAAAATAGGAAATATATCTAAATTACAATAGGAAGTAAATATTTATTACAATAAGACTAAATAATAATTGGTAAGTAACCAAAATCCTAACTAAGTAAAGACTCGCCAACACTCCCCCTCAAGTTGGGGCAAAGATATTTTGCACTCCAAACTTGACAAGCGAGTCACAAAACACCATACTTGAAAAGCACCAATTGTAGAGAAGGTCTTTTCGTCAACCACGAGTGAAACAAGTGACAAACTAAAGCAAAATCCGCAGTGGAAACACAAGAGCAAACCCTAAAAAATAGGGCACATAGCGGAACACATAAAAGCAGAACACAGAAACCTGTGAGCAATGCAGTAGATAAGGCAGAACACAGAAACCCTATGAGCACGGCAGTAAATAAGGCAGAACACAGAAACCCTGTGAGCATGACAATATGTAAAGCAAAACACAGAAGCCATGTGAGCACGACAGTAGATAAGACATAACACATAAACCCTGTGAGTAAGGCAGTAGATAAGGCATAACACAGAAACTCTGTGAGCACGGCAGATGGTAAGGCAATAGCAAGGTAGGCAGTGATGACAGTAGCAAGGTCGGCGGTGGTGGATTAAGATTATAAGTTAGGTGTATAGTGCAGCGGAAATAAGTAGTGTTTAGGGTTATGGTAGAGACGGATCAAAACACAACAACATCATCGGCAGTGACCATGACAACAGAAAATGAAGCCAACAAAGTCAACATCAATGACAACAATAACGGAAATGGTAACAGCGGTAATATCAACGGTGGCAGTAGAGGCAATAGCAACAATAAATTCTTCCATATAAACTTTAGCTAATTCACACAGACACAACTTCTCTTCAATCCTCATCTCCCTCTGAAGAGAAGGGTAGTCGAAGTCAAGAAAGAAACAACATCTTCATGGGAATACATCAAGGTAACTGGGATAGGTCAATAAACATATCCCTTTCACTCCTTCTCCCCCCCTTGAAAAGGAAGGGATGAGAGCACTTAAATTTCAAGAAGAACACAAGCATAGGTGACAAGAGAACCAGGCTCTTATACCATGTCAAACAAAGTAGGGTAAATATTTAGTTATGCTAAGATACACTCATATTATTATTATTCTCTAATATTGAGGTATTTATACAAGTACAAATATATGTTCACTCTAAATAAAATAGGAAATATATCTAAATTACAATAGGAAGTAAAATCATAACATAGTAAGAAACCAAAATCCTAACTAAGTAAGGACTCGCCAACAGTTAGAACCATTTATTGTATCGATTTTTTTTGTTTGATAGACTACGGACGGTTAAAACCTATGTTATATGTATTGGCGGATTGAGGATTGTGACCTCATAGGGTCGTGATGTATAAGTGTCGAATTCTTTTGTAAAAAAAAAAAACACTAAAAAACAAAAATATAGTACTTCCATTCATAATTCATAGCAAAACTAACAATACGAACTACAATTGTCAATATCTCCTTTAACTCAATCCGTCTTGCTCTTGCACTTGAACTACCCAAATTAGACAAACTATTCGTTAATAATTTTCTAGGGCTTAGAACATTAATTTAGGATAATTTTCTAGGGCTTAGAACATTAATTTAGGATATCAATTTCATTAAAAATATAGAGGATATATCAATTAAGGGAAGAGGTTTGGGAGGGTTAACTAGCGGGTGAGGGGTAGGGTTGGAGAGTAATCTAATTAGGGGACAGGGGTTCGGGAGGGGAACAGGGGTTCGGGAGGGTTAATTATCGGGTATGGGTTGGAGGGGTAAATGTTTGGTTTTTTTTTAAAGGCTTGGCCTAAAACGGCATTGTTTTGGTTAGGTTATTTTTAAAAATTGCACGACTAAAATGACGTTGTTTTACCTATGCAATTATAAATAAAAAAAATCGTAGTGCACGCAGCACAACGCTGATGTTGCAGAGACATCCCATCTAGCATCTGGTGTGCAGTGTAGGAGGACCTCCAAGCCTAATTCCATGGATTCCAAGAGGTCATGCGACCCCACTATGGCTCTGCCACTGATTATATGAGATTAAATATCATGTACTAGTCCAACCCAACTCTTAACAAATGACTTCATTAAAAGCATGTTTACTTACCTAGAAAGGGAATGAGACTCATTCCTGACCACTCCTCTATTTACTTGCATGTTGGGCCCACATATAATCATGATTTTGATTCCTGATATAGGGGCAATGGCATTTCAGATGGGAAAGATGGTATTGTTGGGCATGGATGAATCGGAATGGATATTTTTCTATCCAAATTGCCGTCATATATTTTGGGGAAAAAAAATAATTTATGCTATTTTCTTTGAACATAAATATATTTAACTTAATTGTATATATTTAGATATACTAGGAAGTAAGAATTAAACTTATAAAACATGATTATTTTTACAGAACTTGAAAAAAAAAAAAAAAATTAAAGAGCTTGAATAACGACGAAAAAAAAATAGAGAACTTTTCTCATGTATATATATTTTTTTGTTTAAAACAACAAAATTTATCATTTGAAAAAATGTGTAAGTAGTTGAACAATTTGGTATTGGATTTGTTTTGCAAGGGCATTTTGGTAATCAAATTGATTTTGATTCTTAACAATAGTAAGGGCCCGTTTGGGAGTGCTTCTAGAATAGTTAAAAGTGCTTTCTAACAACCAAAAGCGCTTCTGATAGCGTTTGGCAGAAATGTTTAGAAGCGCTTTTAGGCCATAAAAGCGCTTTCCGGAGAAGCACCTGTCATGTGCTTCTTCAGGAAGTACTCCCAAGTGCTTTTCCAAAAAGCACTTATGTTTCTTATGAAAATTTCAACGTCTTTATAATAAAAGTGCTTTTGGTAAAAGCGCTTATAAGTAGAAGTGCTTCCTAAAGAAGCACTCCCAAACGAGCCCTAAATAGTTTTAATGAGAATTCGTTTTGTTTTCATTCTAATTCGTGGCAGTTAGTAAATAACTTAATTGGAATGCTTGACTTCGATTCCTGAATGCTCTGATTCATGTTTATCCCGATTTCTAATAAGTAAACATGCCTAACTGCTTCACAAAACAGAGTACCTATATTAATCTCTACGTTGTTTTGAAAAGATATATTAAATATGAATATTCCTTTTCTATATTTTGTTATATAAAAAGAACACTCTATGCTGAAGTGAGAAGCTACTTAAACCCTTCAACCAGGGATTCTTAAACGAAAAAGCCCTTTCAACTAGGAGTGAAAATGTTATGGTCAGTCATCACAAAAGTAT